CCTAATTATATTTTAGATTTTTTATATTTAAAATGAGATGTTTATCCTATATTTGATTGTGTTTATCTGCAGTTAGTTACACGAATTCAGATATGGGATGAAATCGGCTAGAGATGAAGGGGTTTAAGAGTTTTTAAGAGTTTAAGAGTTTTAAGAGTTTAAGAGTTTTAAGAGTTTTTAAGAGTTTTAGCCAAATGCTTTATAATATAGTATAGATTTGACAAAAATTCTTAAAACTCATTTTTTATGCATGAAATACAGTATAATATTACTTAAAATTCAATAATACAATGTTTGAATTCGTGTAACTAATTGCGAATAAACATAATCAAATAGATGATAAATATCTCATTTTAAAATATCTAAAATAAAATTAGGATAACTATCGAGTTCTAACAAAATAATTAATTATTCTTTTTATAAGAAAATTATATTATTAAACCAAATATAAATTACTTCGTTATTGAACCTAAATTAAATTACAATTAAAAAAAATAAATTAAAAAATTACTCAAAAAATAGGAATTTTAAATAGTTAATTTGATACTAATATCGAAATATTTTTCTCAATTTTTTATGATATATTCAAATTTACATTTTATTCAAAAAATAAAAGTATTATTGTTCTTTCAAAATCACATAAGACCATATTATAGCATTAACTGAAATAAAAAATAAAATGAAATATTAAAATCAAGATGTATTTCGCTGTATTGCGCAAGTACCCTTCTAGTATTGTAAAGCATCTGACAAAAACCTCTTAATAACCATTATTTATGCATATTACTTAAAATTTAAGATTACAAGTAAATTGTGCGTAAGTACAACTTATTAAAGCTCCATTTTTGAATTCGTATAACTAACTCCAGATAAACATAATTAAATACAAAATAAACATCTCATTTTAAATATAAAAAATCTAAAATATAATTAGGATAATCATTGAGTTTTACTCGTTATATTTATAAAATTTTATTGTTAATTCTAAAATAAATTACTTCACTAAATCATAAAAACATTATCTTTTTCAAAACCACATAAATTGTACTATATCAATAGAGACAAAAAAACAAAACGGAACATTAAAATGAAGATATATATCGCTGTATTGTACGAGTATATCCTTCTAGTTTCATAAAATATTATTTCTCTCTTGTAACATTTAATTTCAAAATATCTTATTAATAAAAATAAATAAATTATTATCTTTCTTACTTTTTTTTCATTAATTTGAAATTTATATCATTAAAAAAACTTAAAAATAATGTGCTTTTTCATAAGTTTTTGGGAGGTTTTTCAAAAATGAAAACCTTACTTCCATAGTGGGAGGTTTTTTCATGAGGTTTTTGTTAATGGTCATAATTGCATGACCTGTTTTTCAGAATTTTTTTTTATATTTAATCGGTTTTAACATTGTAAAATTTTATATTTAATTAGTCTTTTATTTTAAATATAATTATATGTAAATATAATTAATATAAATAAATACATAATCATAACTATAGTTTTTGATATATTTAATTAATTAAAAAATGTATATATTTTTTATAACTAGAATGGTACTCGCATAATGTAGCGAGATATATCTTGATTTTATTGTTTCATTTTTTTTGTCGCAATCGATGTTACAATACGGTTTTATATGGTTTTGAGAAAGTGATAATGTTTTTATTTTTGAACAAAATATAAATATGAAGATATTATATAATATTTAAAAAAGTACCAAACTAACTATTTATTTTTTTTTTGTTTTTTTTTTTGTGTATCTCCATAATGCATTTTTTTTCTTTTTGGTTTAATAATATAATTTTCTTATAAAGATAATAATTAACTATTTTGTTAGAATTTGATAATTATCTTAATTATATTTTAGGTTTTTTATATTTTAAAATAAAATGTTTATCCTCTATTTGATTATGTTTATCCGTAGTTAATTATATGAATTCAAACAGCGAGCTTTAATAAGTTGTACTTATAAACAATTTACTTGTAATCTTGAATTTTAAGTATTATGCATTAATATACAATACTTCATGCATAAAAAATGGTTTTTAAGATTTTTTTGTCAAATGTTTTATAATAATAGTATAGATTTTTTTGAAAACCCATTTTTTTAGTTTTTTATTCTACATTATGGATTTTTTTGATAATTCGATTTTTATATATATATATATATATATATATATATATCATTGTAAAGTTTGTTTCAAATGCAACTCATCACATTTGTATAACCAATGCAACCCAATAAATTGAAATATTTATGGAAATGATGAGAGTTCATTTATTATGATTTAAATATTTATGGAAGATGAATAAAATTCATTAATTATGATCAATATTTTATATTATGAAACAATCAAAACTTGTATGAAATTGTATATTTATCAAATTAAATGGACGGTTGAGATTGAGTTATATTGGTTGTATAAATGTAAAGGTTGTATAATAACTCACCTCTATTATTGTATTCATATATTTTAATTAAAAAATTATGCAAAATAAGGCCATAATTAAAATTAAAAATTTTTTTGATAAAAATATATATGTATTTGTACAAAAATAAAATATATTGATTTTTATAATTATTAATAATATCACTATTCTTTTTTCAAATACTACGACTGAAAAAAAAACATCTCAATCGAAATCCCCATAAATAATATTATCATGTGTAAATAGTATTCTTGCTTTCCAATTTTTGCCTCTTCTTTTCCCTCTGAATTAAACTTTTTTTATTCTCACGAGTCTATATTCGATTCATTTGTCGATGAGGCGGCACCCAGATTTGAACTGCGGGAAAAAGGATCACCAACTTCCTTGACCTTTCGGCATCGGGCAGGCGGCACCCGGATTTGAAATGGGGAAAAAGGATCACCAACTTCCTTGACCTTCTGGCACTGGGCAGACGTCAGCCCCCATACATAGTCTTACGACAAAGTTGCAAATTATGGGACTATAAAAAGTTTGAAGAAGTTATGAAAATATTTGAGAGAGGTTTTGTGACGGTGAACATATGTTGAGGTTTTTGAATTGTTGAGTCGGCAACGATATGATATACCCTTAAAGCATCTTCAATGCAGGTTGTTACAAGAACCTTCCTTTTACATTTTACGTTGCCACCTCAAATCTATTTCATAAAATTAAGAACTTACATAAAAGTTCACAATGGTAGTTCTTATAAAAACCTTATTTTTGTAGGTCATCGTATATTTATCAACATCAATAATTATTGCATATATAATATTAATAATTATAAAATCAATAAAAGAAATTAAGAAATTGTTACTTCACACTAACTTCATAGCAAAAATCAAGGTTATTGTATAATAACTCAAACGGGGGTCAGATTCTTGTCACACAAACGTTCCTACACGTCAATTTACTTTTTGCAAAGCAGGTGGTCGTTCTGGGATTAGTCGGCTCGCATAGCGAGTTAGATATCCAGGTTAATAAAAAAAACTTTAACACTGTAGATGTTTTAGCATCTCCAATGGAGGTTCTTATAAAAAAAATCTATTTTTCTACATTTTTTGTTGTCATCTCATATCTAACTCATCAAATTAAGAACTCTCGTAAAAGTCCACAATTGTAGTTCTGATAAAGAACTTCTTATTTGTGGGTCCCATTGATTTTTCAACATCAATAATAATAATAAAGTCAAGAAAATAAAATAAAAAAAACTAGGAAAATGTCATTTTTCATAACCTTTATGATAAGAACCAAAGTTTTTGTATAAGAACCTAAATATGATAAGGTTTTTATTAAAACTCTCAGTTATGGTATTTTTCACAAGTTATTTCATTTTTTGCTAATAAAAACCTTGCATCAAAAATACACTTAAAGACGACTACTACATATTTTTATTTAGGTTCTTAATTAATAAACTATAATCAATAGAATCTATGCTATTTTATAAAGCAGATTTATCAAAAGTCTTAAAAACAAATTTTAATGCATAAAGTACTAGGGGTGCTCAAAAATCCGACGAACCCGATCAACCCAACCCGAATTTTAAAAAAAACCCAACCCGAGGTAACCCGATGCATGATCGATAAAAAATTTAGCCAACCCGATTTTATTGGGTTGGAATCGGGTCAGACCCAAAAAACCCCGATGAACCCGACCTTAACTTTAGCTTTGAATTGTAGATGATAATCATGACATGACCAACCCCAACGTCAAGAAAGCGAAAGCATCGGGGTTGGAAACGTCTAAAACTATTGTTGTTGATTGATGTATTATCATTTGGTTTAAACATTTTTATTGTARTATCTAAATATTTGATGAACTTGCATATTATCTTGAATGGTCGGTCGCATTTCAAAGGAAAGTTTCCTTTATTTTTACGTGATTTTACATTGTTTAAACACAACCCGATCAACCTGAACGGGTTGGGTTGAACTTTTGTTTGGGTTGGGTTGGGTTGAAAATTTTCAAACTGCCAACATTGGGTTGGGTTGAAAATTTTCAAACTGACAACATTGGGTTGTTAAAACGGCTCCAAACCGATCAACCCGGGCCGTGAGCACCCCTGTAAAATACTATACATTTATACACAAAGTCTTAAAAACAACTCATAATGCATTAAAATAACATATAGTATAAGTTAACAATGCACATTATTACCTTTTCTTTTCATATTCACAAGATACTTTTGACATCTTTCACTCATGTCTTCACCCTCTCATATCTCTATGTTTTCTCAGGGACGGACCCAGATTTTTTTTAACGGTGACACCATTTGACCATAAGAAAAAAAATAGGATTTTTTTTTTCAAACGGTAGCACCGTTTGACTAAGAAAATGACACTAACATGATTCGGACTTGGGTGTGGGGTAGAATAAAAGCCTTGAAAACCAACTCTACCAAATAAAACTTGTTCCCATTATAGTTTCAAAATACATACGGTGACACACAACAAATTAATACGGTTGTACCATTCACGAAACCTAAATTTTTTACCCTTCGGCGGATAAACGATACAGTGGCATGTGCCACCCATGGCACCTATGTAGGTCCGTCTATGCGTTTTCTCCCCCATCCCTCAAGGTGTGATTCAAACTGATATTCACTATAAGTTATTAAAAGTTATCTCATTTAATTGCTCTAGAACTCTCACTCTCGATTTCTTGCTTTTGGTGTAAATCGAATATGTGGAGTCGTTTAAATATGTTGGATTTTAAATATATTGGATTTTAAACTGTTATACAATTTTTTTTATCGATAGACTGTAATTGAAATCATAACTCTTATTTATTCAAACTGTATTAATATGTAAAAACCAAGTGTAACTTATATTATCGTCAAATTTTCTCTAATAAAATTAATGAAACTTCAAAATCGTTAAAATTCACGGCTTTCATTATATTGCACGGGTACGCAACAAGTAGATTAAAAATAAAAAAACCCAGGGAAGAGTTATTAAGACACGATAAAATTGTAAATTGTAATGCAATTTTGACACGTTCCTCTTCTGAGTGATTTCAACACGTGTTGACATCTTTCTCTCTGCAAACAATAAATGCATCCAATCCCAACCTAATTTTGGCTTCAATTCGCCATTCTTTTCTGTACCCTCTTTCCATACTCGATCGCTTCCGTTGCTCCACAATCGCTCCGATTTCAAAGATTTCCACCACTTAAATTTTCTGGGTTCGTCTCCTAATTTCTTATGCAAATTACTCTTTTCATCCAGAAAACAAACCACTAAAACGATCGTAAAATTTGGGGGAAAATCGTTTAGGGTTCTTTGATCTCTCACCATTGATGCAAATTCCACTCATTGATTGGGATTTTGTTGTTTGTAATTTCGGATTTTGAAATCGAAGTATGTGTTCTTAGTTTCTTCTTCGTTTTTGTTGATTTTGGTTCCATCGATTTGTTCTATTTTACGCAAAATGTATACATTTCTGATTGATTTTGAAGTCGTAAACTTATCAATTCGACTTCTGGCAAATCGAGTCTTAAAATTGCTTTTGAAGATAATATCCGAATTGGTGAGATTTTGAATTCAAGATCTGTAGGTTGTACAGATGAAATCAGATCAATAGAATAATCCCATTTACCAAACGCTTTATCGTTTATCTTATCAGATAACATTTTCCGCAAAACGTAAAGTTGCTAAACGTTTGCTCTTTATAAGCATTCACTGGGTAATCACTCACCAGTAAACGAAACCCGATAAGAGTTCGGTAAATCACCCCTTGAACACGATATTTTACACTATCTTTTATAGAATACCGGTCCCACAGCTATCAAAAGAACGTAAAAGTGGTCGGGATCGGGTTTGAAGTCAACCGGAACTTTATTTCTTGTAACGTGTTGTTTTTTTTTTAACTTTTATCGTAGTTGTTTTCGTCTTTTGTGACGTTAGGCCATGGCAATGTGTTCTAACCAATCTACGTGAATTCGATAGTTTTGTGACTTGTTATTGCACGATCGAAATGTCTTCCCCGAGCAAGAGGCGAGAGATGGATGTGATGAAGTTGTAAGTCCCGTTTCGCATGATTTTATACATCGGGTGGAGTTAAGTAGTAAACTGTATCGTATACGAAAATCTTCTCGGGTTGTCCCGAAATAGGTGTTACATTTTTATATTCAATCATTCACCGAGATTTTTCCAAGGGTCTTCATGAAAACAACTGTTCTGCTCTTTGGGGTAGAGGAAAAAATTGCTTAAATCCCACCCCATTTACCCTATTTTTTATTGAGGTATACTGGATTTGTTTGGTTTGATTTTTTATATTCAATCCAAGTTGAAAGAAACTTTAGATGTTTGACTTTTTGTTTACCTCTTAATAGTTCTATTAAGAGGCAACATCTGAATCGTGAAGAGGTGAATTTTGTTTGGCCCAAATAAAGTCTGTCTTTTAATGGTTCTAAAACCATCTGAATGATTTTGTATCATGGGTCTCCCTTAACCAGTAAGATCCCCAATTTCATTGTAAACAGTTACCAAACAATTACATTTCATCTTGCACTATATTATAAGAGCCTCTTAATCATTCTGACCCTTAATTATTCTGCAACTGCCAAATAGCCCCTAATACGGTTGGGTTCTTGTGAGACCAAATTGTTTTCATGAGACCCGTGAGAACAAATGTGAAGGCAAAAAAACACACTGAACCTACACAGTGTTTTTGTTGCGAAGGTTCGATATTTTTGTACCTTCACTGTGTTTTGCCATGAATATCCAGTGTTATTTTGTTGTCTCACACGATCCCAAGTCTTTGACTAATAATGAAGCATTCTCGTATGGAATTTTCATTTGTTTTTGTGTTGTTATCCGGTGTTTGTATTCAGGATGATGAGCGATTACGTAGTGGAAACACCAAACGATCGGCTGAACGAGTTTAGCGTGGAGTTTCACGGTCCAAAAGAAAGTGTGCCTATTTATTACCTTCGTCGCGTACTTATTTTTTGTAAACTATCGGTCTCTAAAACTATTTGAATTCTTAGGTGTTTATGAGGGCGGTGTGTGGAAAGTTCGTGTTGAACTCCCCGACGCTTATCCTTACAAATCTCCTTCAATCGGATTCGTGAACAAGATCTTCCACCCCAATGTCGATGAACTGTAAGTAAAATCATATCATCATGCGACTTCTTTGCTTTCTCGACACTTGACATGTTACTTGTCCTCCATTTTCGTATGCAAAATTTCAGGTCGGGTTCCGTTTGCTTGGATGTCATAAACCAAGCCTGGAGTCCAATGTTCGGTATATATAGCTTTAGTCTTGTTTTCTTTCGTAGACTCCTCATAATGTCGGTTTTGAAGAGTGATGGAGATGCACGAGGCCTGGTCAGACTTTTTCAGGTCAGACTAGAGACGCGCAAAAAGTCCAAACTCCAAGTCTAGCCTGAGCCCGGCCCTCAAAGCCCGACCAGGCCAAAACGTTAGGGCAGGCCCGCTCAAAAAAGCCAAGCCTTGAAAGGTCTGCGAAAGGCCAGTCAACCTTGATTAAGCCCGATAGGACCCTTTTCAACCCCAAGCCCAGCCTCTAGTTCAAAACAACCAGGGGCCATTTTTCCGCTCCCTGAAAACGGGCTTGAAAGGCCCAGACCTGAAAAGACCAGTTCTTTGTGCATCTCTAGGCCAAACCTTAACCAGTCCTCGGAAACAAAGTTGGCCTGATCGGGTTGGTCCTAGGCCTAGACTTGGTTTACTAGGCCCGGTCTTATTTGTGCATCTCTAAAGTTCATAGTATCGTTGTATCTAACCGTGGTTGCTGCAAAATTTCAGATCTTTTAAATATTTTCGAAGTTTTCCTTCCTCAGCTCTTGCTTTACCCGAATCCTTCGGATCCACTAAATGGTGATGCGGCTTCATTGATGATGAAGGATAAGCAGCAGTACGAAGAGAAAGTCAAAGGTCATCGATTGCTCTCGTACTTGTCCCTAGATTCCAAGCGGAGTGTTCTGAGACGTTTTGTTGTTTGTTTGACAGAGTACTGCGAGCGTTATGCGAAGAACAACAGCAAATCCGCAGGTGAAGAAGAGGAGAGCGGTGAGGAAGATATCAGTGACGGGCAATACACTTCGAGTGACGATGACGAGATTCCCGGGCATGCGGATTTATGAGGGCGATTGGTTGTTTATCAGTTAGGCTTCTTCACGATACTTACTAGTTGTATTATAAAGGTTTTATAACCATCAAACTCATGTTTGAACTCCCGATTGTCGATGTTGTAACTACGAAACCGTCTTCAAACTTGTATACAAGATACCGAACACCGCAAATGTAGATTATTCGGAATTCAAATGTGGTTATATTGAGTGAATTCAATGGGGGCTGAATCCCTTTTTGTTCTTATGGTGTTACTTGTTATAGTTTTAATGGAAATTGTTGGAATCCCACACACTGGGCGACCACTTGCTTTGCAGATAGTCCGGAGTCACCGCATTTGAATCTCCATGGTCACAAGGGAATTTTTATTCCTCCTTAGATTTGAACCTGAAACTTCCTGATACTTTCGATCTTTGGAGCAACACCTTGTACCAGAGTTAGCCACATCTTTACTACCACCAGGAGCCAGCCAGCTAGCCTGCATAGCCAAAGCCAAGATTACTGTATTGCTGGGTCCAAGGTGCAACAAACAATGTAATGTACTGATCACAAATGTTGAAAAGCCGGCCACTGTGGAATCAGCTTCACTTGAGCTTTGACCATTTCCAGCCGGCTGAAGTTCTAACTTCTTCATCTTCACTTAAACCTCAAAACATCTTCACATTTCTGCTCATCAAAACCACAGAAATTCTCTTCCAAATCCAACATGGATCGAATTCGATCCATTTTCTGGGCGGTTTTCGTGTTCGTTTTACTTCTATTTTCACCGGCAAAAACCGAAGACGAAGGTGTAATTACGGCATTGCTCGCTTTCATGGATAAACTCGCTCCAGGAGGTGCCCAAATCACCCCGAATTGGGGATGGAATGCTTCATCGGATCCTTGCACCAGTAAATGGGTCGGGATTACTTGCGACAGAGACAACAAAACCGTGAAAAAAATAGTCCTCGAGCGGCTTAATCTATCGGGAACTCTCGATGTTGGATCGGTATGCAAGGTGAGTAACCTTCTTGTACTGAGTCTGAGCTTCAACAATGTCACCGGAAACGTGCAGCCGGAAATATCGAATTGTGTACGGCTTACTCACTTGTACCTAAGTGGGAATCGGTTTTCCGGCGATCTTCCTGATTCTCTTGCAGAATTGCCGAATGTGAAAAGGGTTGTTGTATCAAACAACGGGTTCGCCGGTGAGTTGCCGGATTTTTCAGGAACCACAGGCTTGTTAACGTTCTTAGCTCAGAACAATCGGTTTACAGGGCAGATACCGGGATTCAATTACCGCCAACTTGAAGACTTCAGCGTAGCCAATAACGATTTAAGCGGTCCGATTCCCGACGACACGGGTCGTTTCGACGCCAGCAGCTTCGCCGGAAACCCGCAGTTATGCGGGAAACAGTTACCGGTAACATGTCCATTGAAGAAGAAGAAACACAAGTCAAAGCTGCGGGATTTTCTCATTTACTCCGGATACGTGATCCTCGGATTCGTAGTCGTGGTTCTGATCGCGTTGTTATTACTCAAGAAAAAGAAGCAGCGACATGAAGACGTAAAGATCGACCCATCAACGAAGAAATCCCCAGAAAGCGGGGGTTCAAGCGGCTCGAGAAACAGTCGGGCAAGATCAGAGTTCTCGATAACGTCGGTTGAAAGCGGAGGGATTTCGTCTTCGATGGTTGTTTTGTCGAGTCCGGTGGTGAATGGGCTTCGGTTCGAAGATCTGCTTAAAGCTCCAGCTGAATTGATTGGAAGAGGTAAGCATGGAAGTCTGTATAGAGTGAAGCCAGATGGTGGTGTTGGTCTGGTGGTGAAAAGGATCAAAGATTGGAAGATTTCAAGGGATGAATTCAAGAAAAGGATGCAGAAAATTGATCAAATAAAGCACCCAAATGTGCTACCACTTGTTGCATACTACTCTTCTAAACAAGAAAAGCTTCTTGTATATGAGTTTCAGCTGAATGGGAGTCTGTTTGGGCTTCTTCATGGTAAGCCCTCAACTCTTTTCTATCTTTATATTTCTATAATTTGTTCGAAATCATTAAGGTTGCGTTTGGTACACAAGACGGTACGAAAGAGAATAGGAAAAAGCAAAAAGTTTGTTGTCTCATGTTTGGTGTGACAATTAGACTGGGATTCGACCTGACCAACCAAAATAGGTGGAACAAAAGTGAGGGAGATTGTGCAAATTTCGTAAATCACTGAACTACTCATGTTGAATCAAAATCCTAAAACCTTCGGCAATTCTTTGACTTGCCTACCTCACTTTCGTCCGTCTGGTCCAGTTAGAGATGCATAAGGCCCAGGCTTTTTCGGACCTGGTCCAGGCCTTCCAAGCCTATTGAAGTGTTTTTTAATAAGTAAAAATAAATCACGGGATTTTTTGGGCCTAGACCAGGCTTTGGGGTTGAAAGACGGAACAATTGGGCTTTTTCAGGGTCGGGTTTTAACCGGGCCTTAAAAAAAGTTGACCTGATTTGGCTTTGAGGCCGGGCCTGGGCTTACTTGTGCATTTTTAGTCTAATCCCGTCTAGTGATGGCCAAATCGGCCTGGCCCGGGACTGGTAAGGACCGGTTATGGAAAAGTTTGGGACCGATTAGGCCCAGCCCGAGACCGGGTTTTGGCCATCATTAATCCCGTCCCATCTAAGCCGTACGCTTTCTTTTAGCATTTTTGTGGGAACTATGTTAATTTCAAATATAATGATTCGGAAAGTAAAATCACTCTTGGTTTTCTTGTTTTAGGGTCTCAAAACGGGCAGATGTTCGATTGGGGTGGCAGACTAAGCGTCGCATCTAGCATAGCAGCAGCATTGGCATTCATGCACCAGGAGCTTCAAGCCGATTTGATCCCCCATGGAAACTTGAAGTCATCGAACATCTTGCTCAAGAACAACATGGAGCCCTGTTTGAGCGAGTATGGGCTAATGGCGAGAGACCATCAGGACCCCAACCAAACCAACAACCACACCACAATCACCACCTTCAAGGCCGATGTGTATGCGTTTGGTGTGATCCTCCTCGAGTTGTTGACGGGGAAGCCGGTCCAGGACGATGGGTCTGGTTTGATCAAGTGGGTGAGCTCCGTGGTCCAAGAAGAATGGACGGTTGAAGTGTTTGATAAGGCGTTGATAGTCGAAGGTGCTAGCGAAGAGAGGATGGTGGGGTTATTGCAGGTGGCGTTAAAGTGCATAAATGCTTCACCGGAGTTGAGACCGACGATGGGTCAGGTGGTGACGATAATATCATCGTTAAAGGAAGAAGAAGAGCAATCCATGACCTCTTCCGATCCATAAACATTAAGATCGCATATTTTCACCCGAATTGTAAATATTTTGAGAACCACAAGAACCCGTTCATATAATTATTCATGATGACTATACCTAAATATTCATTACTCACTATATTCATTAAGAATAACCCTAACTATATTCATCATGAATATGCAGTTCTTTCTCAAAATATTTAGTTGGTGTTTGTTTTTTAAGAAGTGCTAAAGTCTTATTCACTTGTGATTAATAAAATGTGGTGCTGAAATTTGAAATATGAATCAATAAGGCTGTTTACTTTTGTAAATTGATTATTGTCTGAATTGTTTAACTTGTCTATTTTTCTGATTTTAGAAAATTATAATATTGAATTTATAGATAAATTTATATAATCTCATATATTTATTCATCGTCATTACGAAATTTATATTTAAATTAAATAATTAACATTCATTTAAACGAAAATATATACATTAACGGTATTTAACACATTTAAATCCTATTAAAATACACCTTAAGAGATGTGAGGATCGATTTGGTAACGATCAATTGAGAGAAATGATCGATTAAGGTTAAAAACAATAAAAGACAAATAAAAGGTTGGTTTACTTATTACCAGATAAAAGGACAATAAAATATAATTGCCTTCCAAAAATTGGAAAAAACCAAGCAGTCTAAATGACTCTACCTCTTAACAGATCAGATATAAGAGGCTAATAAAAACTTTTTTTTTTCAAAAAACAAAGCAAGCTATTATTGTTCTTAAATCGACCTGCACTTATTTTCAGGTAGAAATGATGGAAGGAACAATAGCAGTAACAAAAATAGACAGTTCATTCTATTGACAGTACAACGTAAGGGAATGGAACTCCAGATCTCAAGAACATATGTTGACATAATTTCATAATCATTTATTTGGGAGTTGTATTCATTGATTGTCTCTTTGAAAATGATGGTGGGAATATGAATCAAGGAATATTCGTAAAAGGTCTGCTTTCGTATGATGACCAACCAATTGGTAAAGGCGATACTCCATTGACAGTTGGTATCACTTGCAAACAAAAAGCAACAGAAAAGAAAAAGGAAACGGATAAGAAGATTTAATGGAGAACGAACATGTTTCAAATTAATGTAGCTACAGAAATCGCCTAAAATACATATATATTGATAAGTATATGATACAAAGACTTCTTCTCAGATCTATGATTTGAGTTCATCAATGGAAGAAATAAATCCGTAAAGGATGGAAAATATAATGAACAACTGTAGATGCAGCCACGGAGAATTTTTTTAATTCATTCATAACTAGGAAGTACAGCCGTCCACGTTATCTTACACCTTTCACTATCCCCCCTTGCGTTTATTTTATTCACAGACAGGTACTATCTATGTTCTAATGGAAATTTAAAAAAAAATCATCTTACGAAAATGATCTGCCGATCCAGATTTGAAATCAAAAACGAATTCAATCAAAACAAAACCTAGAAAAAAAATATAGTACTAATTCAACGCTAATCACGACGAAGAAATAGCGAAATCACACAAAATTCGGTCCGATTGTCTCCTTACCGAGATCGGTCGACGTTTTGGAAGTGATCGGAACCGTCGTCCGTGATGCATACCGTGAAGAGAAGTTACGAACCATGTAGTCATTCTCCATTTCAGAATCTCCGCTTTGCAACGGTCCTTCGTCGAAATTGAGCGCGTAAGCCAGAGGATCGTACTGGAACTTAGGGGATTGTCGACCGAAGCTTTTGTTACGGTTGAACCGCCGTATGAAGGTCTTCCATCTAGGACCGGCGACGATCTCCGACCACTCTCGAATCTTCTTCAAGGCGTCGATCCCTCGCGACCACAGAGTTCTTTCAGAGTGGTACTCCGAAGACGACGAACGTACTTTCTGCCACCGGTAGGGTATGCAGAAACAGCAACGTCGCTCAACCAAGAGCAATTCAGAGGGAGACGTCGATTCGGCATCTCTGAGAGAGAATTCAGTCGCCATGGATACACATGAAGGATATAATTGAGTAAGGTTTTCGAGTGTTCTGGAAAGTTAAAACCCTACTTTTTATATATTGGTGATTGAGTGAAGATAAGATGCCCAATGTATTATTCTAGACGTTTATGGAAATAAAATACAAAACAGAAAAAATAGAATTGCAAATTTTATTAATTAGTCATTGTAAAAATAAATTAATTTATTTTTTGGATACATGTTTGGATGTATATAATCTAATTTATAAGTTAGCTTATTAAAATGTTAGTTGAAGTAGTTTATTACATGTTCATCAACTGGTTTTTGTCAAATATGATTTGTTCATTAGCTAGTTTATCAGTTATTAGCTAGTTTTCCAAACATAGCCTAAGGGGCCGTTTACTAAACACTTACTTGGTAAGTGCTTATCGGATAAATTTCCTTATCAGATGAACATGAGAAGGACCAAGAATCTTACCGGATAAGAGCAACAAGAATAATGGAGAGTCTTACCTGGTAAGTAAGGATGACGACTTTTACCCAGGTAAGCGCTTACCCAGTAAATTGTTGCATTCAATATGTTTTGATGTACTAAAATCTTGCACATCAAAATAAATCGTAGTGTTGACTTCTATCGGTAAGCAATTGGGTAAACGTACCCTAAGTCTGGTAAAAAAAAAGTCTTGCAAATTAATTTTACCAAAAGAAACATGTGTCTTTATTGTAATTTCAAAATATATATTGTGACATTTTTTATGACCTTTATTATTTTTTACACTACAATGGAGGAACGAAGTAGTAACACGACCAACAGAGTGAGTCCACCCTGCATACAAGAGTTTTAATATGTATTTATTTTTTGTTTAATTTTAAAAAAATTGTTAACATTTGCTGAATTTTTTTAATAGTAGACGTTAATGTCAGTTTGCATGCATCTCAATTGATCTTATGAGATCCAAAAGAAGAAATAGGAAAATCTCCGGTGGTCGTATGAGACTCAAACAGATGAATTTGATAAGTCATTATATATGTATTATCCATGCTAAAGGTGTCTTCATCTGAGAACACATAAAATTGTGATGACTTTGATAGATGCATCAGGTTCATATGTCTAACGGTTGTCTATGCTGTTAATATCGCGATATATCGTCGATATATCGGCGATATATCGGATATCGCTCCTAGGAAAAAAATCGGACCATAAATATCGGTCAAAATATCGGGGCCGATATTATCGGCGATATTTAGCGATTTTTTAGCCATTTTTAGCGATATTTGAGGTAAAAATCGGACCGATATACCGATATATTCACTGGCTCTGTTGCTGTCGCTGGATCTGTTGCTGTGGCTGTACTCTGTAGCAACCTGGTAAGCAGAGGAGATCGAGAAGAGATCGAGAAGTGTCGATTACAGTTGCTGCTGTGGTAAGCAGAGGAGATCGAGAAGAGAGACCGAGAAAAGAAGAAGACGTTGTGAGAAGAGAGACCGTGAACGTGAAGAGAGACCGTGAACGTGAACTCGAAGCCGTGAGAAGAAGAAGAAGTCGAAGTTGTGAGAAGAAGTCGAAGTTGTGAGAAGAAGTCTGAAGTTAGTCGTGAACTCGTGATTAACTCAAGAAAGAAGACGACGTTGTGGACTGTGGAGTAAGGAAGCTTCACTGATTTCAGATTCAGACCTAATTTAGCCCAAAAAATTAGGCCCATGGAATAACAAAAGCCCAAAATTTTGAACACTTTAATTATGTGATGTTTTAATTTTGAAACTATATTTCTAAACTCTAATTAATGCATATTATATATATAATTCTAAGAAATATTATGTTAACCGCTATTTCCGATATATCACCGATATATCACCGATATATCACCGATATAACCGATATATCGAATATCGGTCCTGACCGATATTTCGTATTCTGACCGATATAACAGCATAGACGGTTGTAATGAAACATGTTCATAAAACATGTTTTTTCCCGTTTTGCTTTTCCGTGTCACCAAATATGATTTTTTTTTCCTTTTATTTTTTTACTTTACTTATTTATTTTGCTTCAATCTTGGCATTTTATCAAGAAAAAAAAATGGATGGATTTGATTAGTTTATATAGGATTTTTATGAAATGGATGGTTTGCAAAGTAAACCTCATTAATTATATATATATATATATGTGTGTGTGTGTGTGTGTGTGTGTGTGTGTGCCTAATCAAATAAGAACTAATTAGTTTGTGGTAATCGTGAGATTTAATATAAACCAATCATTTTATGCTATTAATTGTATTACCTTGATTAATAGGTAAATGACGTTTTAATAAAATGATTAATTATAATTTAAAGACCATCATATGGATTTTTTAAATTTATTTAAATAATTATGAATTAAGTTCATACAAATTCATATGATCAAATCCAAATATTAACAAGTGGATGATCAATAATAATGATGATTTTAAGTAGGAGTCACTTAACATTACATGAATATATAATAACAATATGACACAAACATCACTAGCTCAAACAATAATATTTTAACATCATTTTCTAAAACAAGATATATATATATATATATATATATATATATATATATATATATATATATATATATATATATATATATAAGGTTAGGTTCACGTGAGATCAGATTGTTTTCATAGGACCTGTGAGACTTTTTTTTTATACTTCAAACTTCATAACAAAACAATGTAAATGGTAGAAATAAGACATAGTGTTCAATAAGAATCAACATCAAGCAAACACTTGAATCAGATGGAGGGTCTCTTTCTCCTTTTTATTTATTTTCTTGTAACTCATGAGTTGTTTTGGTAGGTACAAGAACTCTTCCTCAACTTTCTATAATACAATGGTCCCCATAAATGTTTTTATTTATTTATTTATAACTTTATTTCAGTTTAAACATATTGAGATGTTTGACTACTTAGGCTTCGTTTACTAACCTCTTACCACCTCTTACCCATTAAAAGATGCTTATTTGCTGACCCCAGTAAGAAGACGGTCAGAGGTATGATTTCTGATTGTTGATTTTGTTTTTAGGTAAACACTTTTACCTCTTACCCATTAAGAGATGCTTATTTGGGTAAGAGGTAAAAGTGTTTACCTAAAAACAAAATCAACAATCAGAAATCATACCTCTGACCGTCTTCTTACTGGGGTCAGCAAAAAAAAAGGAATCTTACTGGGGTAAGAGGAATGTGACATTCTGTCATTTCGGAGTTTCAGGTTAGCACTTTATTATAGATCTTATATTTAGAATTATAAATTTATTAGGATCTAGTCATGGTGGTTAGAGTACATCTGACTCAGTACCCAAAGTTTAGCTTGGAAGATCCGTCTCAACAGGCAATTGATAAAGTTAACTTGTGTAATGCCGAATATTTTAGAAACGTTCCAAATAAAATAAAGTTGATATTATAAACATTTAAAAATTAAAATACAAAAGTCTCATTGAATGTCCACATAATTTATTAAAAAACGGAGTTTTGAAATTAGTAATGTCGTTTTATTTATGTTTGGGTAGATTATAGCAGGTTTATAGTTAATTTGAAAAATAATAAAAAGTTTTATTGGGTTTGGGCCTTGAGGGGCCAGCCCACTTCTTTCTTTAAAAATCCTTATATAAATATTCCACTCCCTTTGAAAAACTTTCATTTATCCAAAATATCGTCAGCTTGAAAACCTTTCATCTCTCTCTAAAATCAACCACCCTCCAGCCGATTCCAACATCAAGCAAGCTTAGGAATTCTGTCAATCTTGAAGATTCTCAAAATATCACGAAAAATGTATGATAATAGTTATCCTACTTTTATTGAATTTCAAAAGTTTTTATCCTCCTACTCCTACAACTTGATCTTTTGATAAATTTCTGGAGAATTAAAGAGGGGAGGTTATTAATCAAAGATATGAAAATGTCTTCATAAAGGATGATAATCTATGATCCGTATTCTTTAATCTCTAAGGCAGTAGGAGAAAACCCCACTGCATGCGAAGTCGGATCATGAAAAGTTATGTTTTGAAGTATGAAATAACCTTGCATGCATCTCTATTGGCTTTGTCGTCTTCAAGAAGTTAATGGAATCGGAAAACATTTTCTGGAAACTGGTCAGATTTGTTAGTTCGAAAATAGAATTTAAATCTTTGGAAAAATGATGAGTTTAGACCTCCAAAAGACTGTCACTCGAAGAATGTGCAATCTGTTTTGGGGGTTGTATAACTCGAGATTGTAGGGTATTTATGAGTGACTTAAACCCACTCAAATTTCTTGGTATTTGGAAAATATCGGCTTAGCTCATGATTTGGAATGATGTAAAAAGTGGACATAAAAATAACTTTTGGAAGGTTCTACTGTTAGTGATTGGTAAAACCCAAAAAAATAGTTGGAACAAAGTGTATAATCCGGTTAAAATTCAGTTTTTGAGTAAAGAATTTCGATTTCTTTTAATATATAATTTTTGGGCTATTTTTAGAATAAATAATAAAATATCAACTTAAATTTATGAAAACTCGGTGGCATTGCATGAGATGCAACTTAACTTTATCTTTGTCAAGAACCCGTAAGTGATCATAGTTCTGGTTGTTGGCCTGTTTAGGAAGTTCGAGCGGGCGTTGAAAGCTTCAGACGTCATTCTCTTTGATATTCACCTATAAACCTGTGAGTTCTCACGGCCCCACTTTTAATGCTTTGTTTATTGTTTTGGGGGGAAAACATGAGATTAAGCAAACTATGCATGTTATTTGTTTGAAACCATCGGACTAAAGAACTGTTTAGTCAAGCTTTATTGAAACCATTAGACTAAAGAACTGTTTAGTCAAGTTTTGTTTGATACCATCGGACTAAAGAATTGTTTAGTCAAATTTATTGTGTCATGAAATATTGACTGTTATTGCACTTTGAAATAAATGTTAAATTGATGTGTTTGGGAGTATATTTTCCAAATAAAGTCCCCGTCCGTAAACGCTACTTGTTAACTCGGGCACGTTCCCGGGGCCGTGATATTGTGGATAGCCGCTATTGT